CCCAATGAGATATTTCACATTTTTCTTCTATTTTTTCATTCTTTTGAATTTGTTTGATTTCTTTCTTGATGTCTCATAAAGTCAATAGCTTCCACTTGCCCAATTCTAACTTTTAAGGAATTATTTTCTTGTACCTCCTTTTCCATTTGGCCAATTCTACTTTTTAAGGAATTCTCCTCAGTGAATTTTTGTATATCTTTTTCCATTTAGCCAATTCTGCTTTTCAAGGCATTCTTCTCTTCATTGGATTTTTTTTGTGCCTCTTTTGCCATTTGGCTTAGTCTGTTTTTTAAGGTGTTATTCTCTTCAGCATTTTTTGTGACTCCTTTACCAAGCTGTTGACTCTTTTTTCATGGCTTTCTTGCATCACTCTCATATCTCTTCTCAATTTTTCCTCTGCCTCTCTTACTTGACTTTTAAAATCCTTTTTGAGCTCTTCCATGGCCTGAAACCAATTCATACTTTTCTCTGAGGCTTTGGATGCAGAAATTTTGACTTTGTTGTCTTCTTCTGAGTGTGGATCTGGGTCACAGTCCTGGGTCTTAGTCCCAGTGACTAAGAGCTTCCTTGTCACCATAATAACTTTCTATGTCCGGAATATTTTTTTTTCCTGTTGTTTGCTCATTTTCCATACTATTTCTTGACTTTTAATTCTATGCTAAAGTGGGGCTCTGCTTCCCAAGTGGAGCAGGCATTTTTCTAAGCTTCGGGGGTTTTTTTGTGAGGCTGTTTTCAGAGGATATTCCTGGGGACTAGTAAGTTTTTGGCTTTTCCAAGGTGGTATGATCTAGGGAGAGGTGTGTTTACTACTCTTCTGTACTACGCCCTGGTTTGCGAGTGACCACAAGCTCTCTTTTCAACCCTGGAACTGTGACCAGAGTCCCTGCTCCCCTGTAGCTGCAAGCTCTGCTGTACACTGGGACTAAGACCCAGGAACGTGACCCAGATCGAAGTATAGGCATTGCAACAGAGTCCTGACCCCCGGTGCCAGCAAAGGAACCCTGTAAATGTCCTTCTGACCTGTTGTTCCGATCTCTTTACTGTCTGGGCTGAGAGGTCTGGAAACTGCCACTGATTCAGTCTTCCCAAGGCCTGTTCCTGGTTTGGGGGTGCTTGGTCTGTGCTGGCACAGCCTGTGCTGGACTGTGTTCCTCTCTCACCCTGGTGCAACAGACCTTCTAAGTTGTCTTGGGCTGGAAAATTGTTTCACTTCATCTTTTTGTCAGTTCTGCTACTCTAGAATTTGTTTAGAGTCATTATTTAAAGGTATTTGGAGGGGTTTGGGGGAGAGCTCAAACAGAGCCCCTGCCTTTCCTCCACCGTCTTGGCTCCACCTCTGATTCCTCTGCTTTTACCTCCTATAAACTCCCCCTCTTCCTTCCTCCTCCTAGCCATGATGTCATCTTCTCTTCTAAAAAGTCGTATGTGCTCTAAAGAATGGGATTCCAAAGTGGAATGGGCTTCCCTATAGATGTGGTTCTAGTTTCCTTTCCTTTCTTTTTGAGGTTAGATTTGCCAGAAAGCAAATCTAACCTCAACTTTGATCAACAGCCAAGTTGGAATGTAGCCATTTGGGATTTAGACCACTGACAGCCACTTTACTTGTTTTAAGGCACACAGGTGAGTAAGGCTGTATAATGGATTTCTTCCCTTTCTCCACTCCTCCCCCCTCCCCACCTTTTTCCTTAATCCCCCAGGCCTTAGTAGTAGGGGAAAAAAAAAGGAGGCTCCACATTTAAATTATTCTAAAAGCAATAAAGCCATTAATGATTGAGAAGAGAAATTGTTATGGGGAGGGGGACTGCCTTCCTCATTACCACCAGTAACAACTGCTGGCCAAATGCCATTGACAAGTAGATAGGTAAGGAGCCCAGGGAGTGGCAGCAGTTCCCAGATCACAAGTCTTGCTTTGAACCTAGCCACACCTACTCATCCTCCACCCATCAGTTGAACTTCTATAGAGAAAGGGCCAGCCAACCAAACCCTTTACCGCCCACATGGCAGGCAAATCAGCCTAGCTGAAGCAGCAAGGCACCCTGAGAGAGATACAGGAATTAGCATGTGTCAGACATGTCAAACCACCACCACTACCAACCACCCTGACCACCATCTCCCTTCTGACAGCAGTGATGACAACCCAAAAGCCTGAACCCAAGAGCCTAGGGAAAAGCAGTGTTTCCAGCCCAGTGCCCTCAATCATGCCACCCTTGTGGAGATGCAGCCTTCTCCTGCAGGTAACAGTTATTGAAAACCCAGAAAAGAAAGTTCTTGCCGCAAAAGTTCTTGGCACTTTACAGAAACTGATATGATTTTGTTAGTGGAAGTGACATTAAAGAAGCAGCACTGACAGCAGCTTTGCTGCCACACCCTAGGGACCATGGGATCTTTCCATTTGACTTGCAGCTGAAACCTTCCATATGTGTTGTATGCACCATTAATATGTGAGCTTTTTGAGAGCAGAGACTGTCTTAATTTTCTATTTGTGTTCCCAGCCCTAAGCAAAGTGCTTTGCATACATTAAGTACTTAATACATGCATTTTTCATTTTGTGATAAGATAGGACCCTGTCCTTTAGTACCAAAAACTTTAGTATGTTTTATAAGCCAGTGGGGAATGACTTCAATAAGTAACACTCAGGACAAGCATTATTAAGAGAACTAAGAGCAGATTGGCTTAGAATTAGAGAGGGCTTCCAAATTCATTATCGCATGTCATAGTCTCTTCCTCATTGAGAGTGATAAACACTTGGAATACAGCTGAGGCATTAAAACAAAAGGGTGGGAGTTGGCATAGTTTATACCCATACTGTTTGTTCTGGGGGTAAGGAAGATTTTAAATAATCTTCCAGATTATGAATTCAAGATCACCAAATTCTCTGAGATTAGGTGTTAGAGCCAAAAGGATGTACTTCTTTAAGAAACACTTCATACCACAATACCTAGATATCCTAAGCACATTTTTCATAAGTTCATTTTTCAATATCATGTCTACACATGAAATTTTTTTTGATGCTAGTAACTCATCTACAAGAATAGACAAAACTTCTCATTCATCTGAATTATTTTATTGTTATAGTATTGGAAAAGAACAGACTATACACACACATATATATTTGCTGAATTTTGGTATCATGATTAATTGCATTTCACCTATTATAAATATTTTAAAAATAAAACAATTTACCTAATAAGGTTTCTCGGATGCTTCAAAATACACTTAACAGGTGGTATTTAACACAGAATTTTGAAAATCTGGTAGCAGACCTAAGTCCAGATGAACAAAATGCTGTAAAAAGTCAAAACAGTTATTTCTCAATTTCCCCCAAATAAGTATTTACAAATGCAAATATATGGTCTAACAATTGAAAAAAAGCAGGCATCCTGTGAATGCCTCAAATGCAAAAACAGTTTCAGAAATTATTAGCTCTATGTTGCCACCAAACCACAAGATTTCTTTTTTTTTTATTACTTGTGGTATATGTCCCAAGAGGAAGAAATCAAGAGAAATACACACGCCGCCACCACCACCAGCCTACCTGGACTGGGGGAACTGCAAAGTTATGGAGACAAATCTTGTTGGGGAGATCTTCAGGGAATGAACTTCTTTTTAAGGGTTGGAAGGATAAGAAAACTCTGTGAGGAGCTAGGATCAGTCCTCCCTTCCAGGTTCTAAGGTTCTCCCAAGTGAGCCAGAAGTCTTGGCCTCTGGATTGTGGTGGAGGGGATGGATGTTGGGTGGGGTCCAGTCACCGTGGGTACGCATTTGCCCAGGGCTTCCCCTGGCTCCTTTCGAGAGCTTAGAGCTCTTTCTAAGTTGATACTGGTTGTGGGAGATGTGCTGTTAGCGTGCTCCCGCTTGTGAAGAGCAATCTAACCATCTGCGGCTTCCCATGGACAGTGCCTGTCCCTCCTCCATCCTCAAGTCCTCCGACATTTTTCAGACACAGGGAGGTAGGGAGAAGGAGAAAACGGCCAAGTCTCTGCACCCTGCTGCTGCCGCAGCAAATGAAGAGGGAGGGAGAGGAGGAAGGGTTGAGAGGAGGCAGCTATTAAATTATGATTACCATCAATAATAAAAAGAATCACCTTAATATACAGCGAGGATGCCTCCGAAACACCCACCAGAGCAGCGGCTATAGGTTTAGTGGGCGTTCCTCACCCTCACCCCCGCTCCCCCTCTTGCAGCCGTTCTCTATGAAATTTATTCTATGCCATGTACATATGAACTCCCTTTTCTTTGATTAAAGGGAAGAAACAAAAGGGAAAGAACCACCCAAACAACCTTATATTTCACCACTGCAATAAGGCATCCGTTTGTACAAAACCCCCTTTTCTTACACACCTTTTCCACGGAATCAGGTTTTTTTCCCCTTTAAGGTTAAGATCAAGAAAACACACAGACAAACATACTCAGCTTATTTTGTCTGCTTGCCATTTCTAATTCCACTCTCGTTTCTCTGAAGAAATAAAAATCAGTATGAAATTTCTCGCCTCCCTTCATCTCCTTCCACCCCCGAACCCCTTTGCCCCATTCCGTAGTGATAGAAACCTTGCCTGCTGCTGCTGCCGTCGGCTTACCCCTCACACAAGCAGCAGCAGCAGCAGCAGCAGCAGCAGCAGCAGCAGCAGCATCGCTTCATAGAGCACCGGGGACACAACTGAGGGGTTCCCTGAAAAATCAGGATACCCACCCCATCTCCGCATACCAGCTGGGAGGGGGACGGGCAGAGCCAGAAATGGCAGCAACATTTTAAGATTCAACTTCCTAAGCCAGCGGCTCGGCTCACCCTTCTGCCCTCCTTAAGCAGCAGGAGTAGCGGTGGGGACCCCTGCACCAAGCAGGCTCCCCCGCCCCTCCGGTGCATTTGCAATTGTACTCTCCGCCCCCTCTATTCCTTCCCCCCTTCTTTTTTTTTTTTAATTCCATCCATCGGTATAAAGCAGACATTTTGATGCCATTTACTTAGCAACGTTCAGCTTTAAAGGAAATGTCTTACCCACCCGCCTGGAGGTGTGGGCACAGCACCGAAAGGTCCGGGGGAAAAGGCTGGGCTGCTTGGTCCTCTAGCGGAGCAGGTTGGCTGCCATCCGCCCAACTTCAGCACCCAGCCGGCAGGGAGAGAGGGAGAGATAGACAGAGGGATGGAGGGGAGGGGGTGGGGGGGAGGGGGAAAGGGGAGAAGGCAAACAGCGCGCATGCGTCTTGCCAGAGCCGTCCCCGACCAAGCACAGCTGGAGTTGCCGCTTCTTAGCCCCGGAGCGCGGCGGCGCGTGAGTCACGGCCCCACCCCTCTCCCCGAGAGGGTTCCCAAGCCTGCTAGCTGGCGTTTGGGTCTGCGCCCACTGTGTGGAGGGTCCGGGGTGGGAGTAACGTGGGGGCGAGATAGGAGCCAGGAGCCAGCAGCTGAGCACTCCAGAGCAAGCGCTCAGGGGGAACCAGGAGTCCTAGTGGTTTTAAGGCATCAAGCCTGCCTCCTGTTCTGAAGTCTTGCTCAGGAGACTCTTGAGTTCATAAGCAGCTCCAAGAAATTTTACTATGGTTTTTTCCCCCACCCCCTCCACCGCGTGTTAAAATAACATCATTTTCTTTCAAGAACAAAGCCGAATAAACAAAACTCTCCAACAGTGTTCCCCATGGAAAGCTTTCCCTCTGAGAGGTTCAAGAAAAGGTTCAAAGTTCAGCAAGCGTCCAGTTTTGTTCAGCCATCAACGTTTAACTTGGCTTTGAAAAAAAAAAGCCTTTCTGCTTGATTCACTTACCCAGAAACTGTGACAATCTTTCTCAATAATTGTTTCAGATTGCTGAATATGCTTCCACTGTATTCTGTGGCACGTGGCCTGTCTCAGTATACTGGTCCAGGGTGGAACATAATGACTAGATAGTTCTTTTACAAGACAACATTCTGGGGCAAAGCTTCAACCCTTTAAAAAAAAAAAAGTGCAGACGCCTGAGGCCTGGCGCACCCTCTGGGGACAGGTAGGTAGTCAACCATCCCTGTTAAGTGCTTCTTTCCAAATGAGGCCCAGCCTTCCCGAGATTTAATGGATATTTATCCATTTAACGATCTTCTAGTTTAGAGTGACTGTAGGATGATCTGATCAAAGTGTAAGTGGAGAGTAACTGTAACTAGTAAGTGTCTTGTTCTCCACCTAGAATATGAGTGCAAAAGACAAATGAATTCCTTACTGGGATGATTAAGCTTCCTCATCTCCCTATCTCTATCTCTTTATGTCTGTCTTCCTCCCTCTTCCCCTCCTCTCTCCTCCTCTCTACCTCTCCCCTCCACTCCCTTTCCCTTCCCTTTGCTTCCTTTCCCTTCTCCCCTCTCTCATATGTATGTATATACATACACTACATGTGTTAAATATGTTATATAACACACACATAACTGCATGTTGCTTATGTGCACATACATTATATATTTTCATTATTACCAAGAAAGATTTATTTCTCTGTATATGACACCGAAGAAGGTTCTGTGCTTGCATATGAATGTTTCTAGTTCTTGCACTTATATCCTTGAACCTCAAAATACTTGAAATGGACCAAAATATAGAAGACATAAATGTAAAAGAATAGACACAGAAAGTTTGTTGTTCTTCAGTAGTGTCCAACTCTTTGTGACTCCATTTGTTTTTTTTTTTTAATTTTTTTTGTCTAGGCAATGGGGTTAAGTGACTTGCTCAGGGTCAGACAGCTAGTAAGTATCTGAGGCCAAATTTGAATTTAGGGCTTCCTGACTCCAAGCCAAGTGCTCTTTCTACTGTGCAAACTAGCTGCCCCGTGGAAAGAGTAGCCTTCACATTTACACAAAACAATACTGACTTCGATTGCTACCTGTATGTTTGGAAGTGACTAGAAAGCCTGATGCTCAACAGGACTCTCTATGGGGGCAGGTGTGGAGGTTGTCCTTTGATTTGGGTCTGTAACCCAAATTTGCAAGTTGCAGTCGAATTTGCAGAGCCTGTTGCTGTCATTGCCTGTGCCTCTTAGGGTTACAATGGACTTGAAGCCTTTTTAGAAAAAAAAAAGGGCCAGTCTTTTCCTGTGAGCTGCACACTGGGTTGACTTGTCTGCTGCTATTGTTTTCCAGCTGCCCAAAGCTACACAAAACTGTTTCTTCTGTCCTTCCTGTTTGAAGATTATCCTACCTTAATTCTTCCTATAATGACTGAATGCAGGGGTATTGTTTAAATTTTCAGTCCCTAAGCAAAAATTTCAGGAAAGACACTACCTTAAAATCATATTATCAGTAAAGAAAGGCTTCCTTTGCAACACTGGGTCCACTTGGAGAATTATTTTTATTTGTGCCTCCTTTGGTAAAATGTAGTCCTCAAATCATTTACGTTGTAATGGAATTATGCTACTGTTAATTACATTCTAAGATGTTATTGGTGATGTTGCCCTTCATAATCTGGCTCAAACTTGTCTACCAGGTTTGTTTCCTCTTGCTCCTTGTCATGCTCTCCATATTCCAAGCCAAATGGGCCTAATTTCTGTCCCCTTCCTGTACATTACAATCCATCTTTTGCCTCTGTTCCTTTGTTTAGGCTTTGTCTCATGTTTAGAATGGACTCCACCTTTCCCTCTTGGAATCTCTAAATCAACTTCAAAGCTCAGCTCAAGAGCCATTTCCTATACAAGGTCTTTTTCTGATCCCCTTCCTTTGTTAGTGCTTACCCTACTTCATAAATATATACATATGTGTGTGTTTTGTGTGTGTACATACATATATATATATGTATGTATGTATGTGTATATATACGTACATACACATATATGCATATATACACACATACATATATATGCATATATATGTGTATATATATATATATATATATTATATACACATACATACATACACACACACACATAACATTTTCTTGTCTGCATCAAATAGATTGTAAGCTCTTTGAGCACGAGTATTTTTTCCCCTCATTTCCCCAGTGGCAAGCACAGTGCCTGTCATAAACTAGGTAATTAATAAATGTTTTTCATTATTTAATCACTTATTCTTTAGCAGGGGTCAGATGGTACTTAAGGAGCTAGACTTCACATGTATTTCAGGCCCAAGTTTTACAACTATATAGAGAGAGTTAAATACCACTTCATCTTTGTTGCTATTGAGTCATTTTTCAGTTGTGTCCGACTCTTCGTGACCCCCATTTGAAGTTTTCTTGGCAAAGATACTGTAATGGTTTGCAATTTCCTTTTCCAGCTCATTTTACAGATGAAGAACAGAGGCAAATTGGGTTAAGTGACTTGCTCAGGGCCACACAGCTAGAAAGTGTCTGAGGCCTGATTTGAACTCAGGAAGATGAATCTTCCTGACTTCAGGCCCTGAGCTCTATGCACTTTGCCACCTAGCTTCCCTTTAAAGTCCTCCAATTTGTCCTGGATCATAAATGCCTGTTGTCTCTGAACATATACTTTGGTATTATATTTCCTTTTCAACTGATGCATTGGTTGGGTGGGGTCCAGGAAGTAAGAGTGCATGAATATATTCTTTATTGAAAATGGAAATATTTGGCTATGGGTAGGGCTTCCCTTGTGTACAGAAACTCATTCTTCCTCAGCCTTACCAGACAATAGGATCGTGTCAGTTCTGACCCATAGATCATTTGCATATCATCTTCCATGAATGTTTTAAACACAGTGAATCAGAATACCAGTAGCTGTTCTTAGTGTATTGCCCGCATGGCATGGCAGTGGCCAACTTTTTCTGTGTGTCAAATATTGCAAAAATATAGGAAATATAATTGAGCTCAATACAACATACTCACTGATTTTACAAGAACATTTACACCATTAGTAGTCCTCAGGGTGTTGACCACCATTCTCAGATTGCTAGGATGGGAAATAATCACATTTACTAGAATAATTTCCCCTTCCATATTCTCCTCCTCCTCCTCCTCCTCCTTCTTCTAGCAAGTATTTTATTTCTTGTAAGTAGGAAGGGAAGAGAGGATTGAATAGGGAAGGTCCTTCCGATTGTTCAAGACAAGAATCTAGTGTCCACTTGATGGAAACTTATAAAAGCAATTGGAACATGAATAAGGGTGAAGCATTTTTCCTTTTACTTTCAGCAAGAAGGATTCATTATGCCTCTTCAGTTCTTTTATAAATCAGACAAACCTTAAGGGTACCCCTACGGGGGAAATTATTCAGAGGAAAAAATATGTATATATCGACTCTCAACTTAATTATTTTTTTTTGGAGAAAAGTAAATAAATGTGATCCTTCATATAAAGATATAAAGATAACTGCTTACTTTGCATATAAATAGAGGGTTCTTGTGATAGACAGTGAATGAAGAAAATCTTGTTGAAAATTTTTAGTGTTTTCATTTTTCTTAAGCATTAAATATTCATTTTAAAACTTACACCTATATGTGGTCTTTACAGTTTAAAAAATATTTTAATATATTTTTAAAGCAATTTTGATCCTCACATCAGTCCTGAGTTCAGGCAGGGTATGCATCATCACCTTTATTTTACAGATGAGGAAAATGAGATTTAGAAAGCCTTAGTGATTTTGTCAAGATTACCTAGTTTGTAAGTGAGAGAAATGGGATTAGAACTCTGGTCTTCTGAACTCTGATTTCCCAGTCATAATACTTCCCCTTAACTTGCTAATAATATGCCTTCAAGACATCTTTCCTCTTTTTTTCCTTTCTCATTATGGCTACCCTAGTTAAGGAATTATTTACCTAAATTATTGTGATAGCTCCCTAATTATCTTTCACAACTTCAGTTTCTTCTTTCTCTAATATGTCCTGCAGACTAATGTTGGATTAATCTTCCTAAAGACTAGTTCAAATATTATAATCCTCTGCTGAAAAACTTTCAGTGATTTCTTATTACCTGCTGATTTGAGGCTACAGTCTTTGTGTGGCATGTAAGTCCTTCCTAGTATGTCTCTTACTACTCTAAGACTTTTACTCTATAATTCAGCCTAACTGAGCTACCTCTTCTTTATACATAGAATAACATTTTCTGTCTTCGAGAAGAAACGCCCAACCTGAAACGCCCTCCCCCTATATCTATATATTGAAATCCTGCCT